TAGAAATTCATAAAAATTTTGCTTTTTAAATCTAAGATATGAAAATGTAATACAAAATTCCTTATAAGATTTCCTACATTTATCAAAAAAAAAAATTCTATAAGAAAGTCAAATTAAATTTTTATGAGCGTTTGAAATTCAAATTTTTACAACATAGGATATTCACTCGATTTCTCATGTGGCGATTTCCTTATTTTGTTGTAATTCAAAAACGAATTACTGTAGATACATGAAAATTTCACTGAATGTTTATATTAGCATTTCCTAAACACCATACGTACACCAACCGTAATTAATAAATTATAAAATGTTCAGTTTTTATAGCTAAGGATTGAAAATTTAAAAAAAAGATTCTCATAAATAGTTCATACTGTAACCAAAAAATCTGAAAAATATATGAACACAGTTATTTTTTACAGACATTTTAAATTCAAATTTGGACGAAATTACATATTAAAATCAATATTAACGATCATGGGTTTTTTGTTGTAATTTAAAAATATTATTCGGGGATATATGAAACTGAAAAATCAAAATATTATGGCCTATCCATACAATCTACCATAGTACAAGGAATAAGAAGTATGCTCAATGATAAGACTGTGCATAATATAAGGGGCAATGAATAATTTATTCATAAATTAAATATAATCTAATACCATAGATAAGTATATAATATGTCTTATACCTAGACTGACATACCGTCTCCGCTCAGAATCGTTTTTCTTATACAATGATATTATATCATTGAATTCAAGTTTAATACCATCCATTATACAGTGACCCACTTGTAACCTACAGTACAGCAGAGCGACATCCACTTCCCCACCTTTTTTTTTTTTTTTTTTTATACAGAATTTTATACTCGCGTATAATATTATAATAACTATTGTAATGATTAAATATTTGTTTGTATATACATATTCATACGTCTTATTTAATAATATTGAATTTAGTAATTCATCTTGTGTATTTAACTTTGAAATAATTTTATATTATATATATATATATTATAGTATAGTTAATTTATTACGATATCGGAATAATTAATAATAATATAAGAAAAAAGGTGGGCAAGTGGGTGTCGCTCTGCTGTACAGTAGGTTACAAGTGGGTCACTGTATAATGGATGATATTAAATTTGAATTCAACTATACAATATCATTGTATAAGAAAAACGATTCTGAGAGGAGACCCGAGACGGTATGTCAGTCTAGGTATAAGACATATTATAATATTATATACATATCTATAATAAGGTACCTATAATAAATTCCAAATTAATCATATCACAATATCCATTAGGTACTTATAACGCGTTATACATCAACAAAAACCGTGATACTATCATAGATATATGTAATAGTACACTTTAGAAGTTTCAAGTACCCACGAATAATATTATACATTCACAACAAATAAGTAAAATAGTTATTCTAGGTTTTTTAATATGTAATTTCGTCCAAATTTGAATTTAAAAAGTCTGTAAAAAATAACTGTGTTGATATATTTTTTAGATTTTTTGGTTACAGTATGAACTATTTATGAGAAACTTTGTTTTAAATTTGCAATCCTTAGCTATAAAAACTGAACATTTTTTAATTTATTAATTATGATGATTAATAATTTTCGAGATTTTGAAAAATTCTGTCAAAATTCGATGTATAAATGCTTATAAAAAAAAAATTGTGACTATGTATTTTTAATATTTTTCAACTGATTTTGTAACAATATATCAGGAGCCTTGTATTAAATTTTTACACTTTTTGGCCCAACAGATAAAACTTTATTGATATTCATAGAAAAAAAAACTAAAAAAATTGAAAAATGAAAATATCCGTAAACAGCTCAAAAAGAGTAGAAATATTTTCAAAATTGTATGGTGTATAGGAAATGCTAATATAAACATTCAGTGAAATTTTCATGTATCTATAGTTATTCGTTTATAAATATTAAATAACAACAAAATAAGGAAATCGCTACATGAGAAATCGAGTGAACATCCAATGTTGTAAAAATTTGAATTTCAGACGCTCATAAAAATTTAATTTCAGTACGTGTGCAACCTCCGACCGATACACACGTGTGCAACGGTCAACGCAAATCACATTTATATAGCTTCCGATAGCAGTAAAACTCGACAAGCAGCAATCAAGAAGGTATGTAGACACACTATCGATAACCATTGTTACATCAGGTGCCTAAAACCTCGACCCCCCCCCCCACCTCATATCCAAAATATGGATCCCACCAAACCCAACTCTCTCGACACTTCACCGTCCGCTTCTCAAACCAACAACACCAAAACTTTCGCAGAAACCACAGCAAACATACAATTTCCAAAAAAAGACCAAGAGCAATCGTTTTTAACTCTATTTCTTTTTCATTTAAATCAAATTATTATAGTGTTTAAACTGTGCCTATTGTTATTTCTTATCGCATGGTAGACGTGTCGTTACTAGCGTGCTGTAGTTTTTCGGGTTTTCCTATTTTTTGTGTAGTGGCATCGTCTAGACATGCCATTGTAGACAACAATAGGATAGACTATACAGATTGATAACAGTATTATTAATTGCAATATTATAGTAATTGTGTTCTCATTTGCAGTCCAGACGTCCAGTCGCCTGCTTTTGCATTTTACCCTTGTTGGTTATATGTTTTATAATAATTTGTAAGTTTTTGTATTTTTACCAAAACTTAATGCATCGTGTTTATAAAGGTTAGTTTAAAAATATTGTGTGTACCTATTATTAAAATTAATTTATTAAATGATACAGCCATAGGTGATTCGTTTAATAGTACACACTAATTTGTTGATTTAATTTGTGTATGGCATAAAGGAGTTATAATAGTTAATTTTTATCAAAACATTTGATTTAATTATGTTTTTATTTCAATGATTAGTTAATATATGTTTTTAATTTTTAAAATATCCGTCTACGTTGTATGTTACTGTACAATAGATAATATACTATTTGTTTGAAATGTTTGAATAAATTTACGTGTGAGTAAGTAAATATTGAATTTAAGCCTAATTGACATAATATGATAATAAATTATATAATTTATTATATATTTTTTGTGTTTTACTTTAGTTTATATTAAATATATATATTATTCATACTCTTGTATTATTATTACTGTTATTATTATCATTGTTTATTATCAGTATAATAAAGTTCGTCAAATGATCTTAGATCATATACAGTGGATGGAGCCACAACTCAATATTTTGATGTTCATGTTAGCGACGAGTCTCCGCCACTCGAGAGTGGGATGGCCTCTACTGCGCCTGCGCTAGTTGACCTACACAATATGCACCTATATATATATATATAGGTGTGACTAATTAAGAACGCATGCTCAGTAGAGGCCATCCCACTCGCGAGTGGCGGAGACTCGTCGCTAACATGTACATCATCGATGTTATATGTAATCTCTACATCATTGCCAGTAAAAATGACAAATCTTCCTATTGTTCGACTCCTTAGGTCCTTAGGCCTCTATATCAAATATATTTTTGTGTGCATTTTTTTATAGAATCTTTGAATTTTTGAGCAAATATATTTTTTATTTACCTTTTTTTTTTATTAAATATCGATTTTTTAAATTATGGATTTTTTATCACTCATTTTTATCAATTTTTTTATAAATTATAGATTTTTTATTGATTATTTATTAAACAAAATTTTTAGTAAAATTTTTATTTAATTTACATTTTTTTTATGAAATATGAAGTTTTTTTCAAACCGATTTTTTAAGAACATTAAATATAGATTTTTTAAATTATGGATTTTTCATCAAACTGATTTTTTTATAAGTTTTTTATGACAGTATTTTTATTGATTTTTATAGGTTATTTATAAAATATTGTTTTTTTATCAATTTTTTGTAATGGTTTTTTATCAATTTTTTATTGATTTTTTATCAAATAGAATTTAGATTTAGATTTTTATCAAATATAGATTTCTTTATATTAAATAGAGATTCTTCAAATATTTATTTCATCGTTGTTTGATAAAAAATCAATATATGATACAAAATTAATATTTGATAAATAATCTCTATTTAATAAAAAATCATCCAAATGGAATAAAAATCTTAATATAAGGAATTTATTTAGTAAATATCCATAGGTATGTATCTTTTTATGTATGTTTTCGTAAGCTCCTTTTATATTTAACTCATATCTATTTACTATATTATTTCAAAATAATTATATAATATATAATATATAATTTTTTGTGGTGGCAGAATTTTTATTGGGGCACCCGTAGGTTTCTGCCATGCCCCGGGTTGGGGGATGGCGGCACTTGTACTCCGGACACCGTGACTTGCCCGGAGAAAAATGCCGCCCAGTGGTCGAGAGGCGAACCCGCGACTGCCAGCGCCGCAGTCGACGCGTTAGACCACTCGGCCACCTCGTCCCCCATCAATAGGTTTGTTCCATAGACATATTAATATGTCTATTGTCATTTATTAATAATCCGTCGGAATCTACAACAAGATACAATACCACTATCGATGCGGTTTTTTCGAGATATATAGAAAAAATTCAATCACAAACATACGTGACATATTTCAGCTACCACAAACCAATATTTACTGTTATTGAGAATACTGATTAATTTCATAATTGCTTTGTACTTTTATAATGATTAAAATACCATTTTTTTATAATACTCAGAAAAAATTTATTATAATTTTATTACCATGCGCGCGATATATTTATACAAGCATTCATTTCTCTCTGTGTCTCTCTCTCTCTCTATCACTATTTATTTATATTTTTCTAACCTTATATGTTTCCGCGTCTCGCATCACATGCACTGAACTTCGTTCCTGCCGAGTGTTCAACAACACTCACTGTTATACAATTTGTTATGCCTTAATCAAAGTACTGAATCTTTTTTGATTATTTTCCTTTTAAACATTTTGTTGTTGCATTTGTAATATATTTTTGTTTTACGTAGGTAATATACATATTTTAATTGCTTAATATGGACAGAAAACTTTTGGTAAACCCAGTAGAGATGGAAAAGAAGTTATTAATGTATGGGAAAACTTTGTTTATTAATGGAAAATTGCATTATGGAAGTCTAGCGTGGACTGAAATAAGCAATGAAATGAACAACGTAGTCAAACCTTATAGTTTATATTTGATTGTGTCTCAAAATCGATTCAACATTTTGAATAATTTAAAGAAAAATTTTTTTCCACAAGAAACATCTTATGACGATTGTGAAAATAGTAATCCAAAATATGAATCGAATACGGAAATCAGTACTACATCGGACTATGAGACAGATTCAGATACAGAACTAAAAAAAAATATCGTGTTAGATTTAGACATTCCATATGATACATATTTCAAAATGAAACCTATAAATGTACAGTATGGTAAAGGTAATAAGAAAAGAAATTATAGTGGTATAAAACCAGGAACATGGACAGATTTAATATTTGAAGAAATGTATAAAAAGTTCAAGTTACCATGCTCTTTTATATTTAAAAGGTGTAAAATGTATCCAACTTCGGATAGTACGTTCCTTAAAATTTTCGGAAAATGCAAAGATAAAAATTGCCAAAGTAATATGTATGGTTTCGCTGATAAGAAACCTTTAGAAGATGAACCTCTAAAATTAAAAATATGTATTCCGAATTCTGCAAATATTAAACATGCATCTAATTCCAAACGACCTTTAGGAGGAGAGCTACGGAAAGTTATAGGCAAAGAACTTCAAAATACGGAAGGCTACTTAATGCGAAAAGAGCTAGTAGCTAAAACTATGGCGTTTGGAGAAAAAATTCCTCCACACGTTTACTCTACTGAAGTGCTAAGAAAAGCAAAGCAAAATTATAGAGATAAAAGCCTTGGAATTGAACTAACCGATCCTATAAATTCTCTAATTGAATTAAAATATTTAATGCCATATGCGGGGTCCATCCATCTTATAAGTGCCGATCCATTAATCGTACATTATTGGTCGCCGGAACAACTTTTGGTATTTAATGAATCTTCCAAAAGTAAAGTTAACAATTGCCGATTGTGTATTGATGCAACTGGCCAATTAGTAAAAAAAATGAATAGGACAAGTCAGGGTTTAAAGTCATCACATATATTTTTGTATGCTGCTGTTTTACATAATGGTTTATTTCAAACACCTGTGTCTCAGATGTTATCAGAGGCACAAGACATGTCAAAAATATCCTATTGGCTAAATCAGTGGATAAGAAGTGGAGCAAATTTACCACATGAAATTGTATGCGATTATTCGTACGCTCTCATCGGAGCCATAACATTTTCGTATTGCCAAATGTCAAGAAGCCGTTACTGTGATATATGTTTGAGAGTATTACAGAACAAAGAAACATCTACTCCTGCTTTTTTTTTACGTCTGGACATAGCTCACTTTATTAAAATGATATGCCGCTGGAAGTGTTTGGGAAAAGGTAGAATAAAAGAATTTTTCGTAAGGTCATTAATAATTTTAGTTGAATCAGAAACGTTACAACAGTTTGAAGAAATATTTGTGAAAATTATTGTCATCGCTTCTTCCGAAACCGATGGCTTAGAACTTGGTTCAACTTCAGTCCCTGCACCAGCTGAATTATTCCGGTCTCATATGATTAATATGATTAAAGATACAAACCTTCTAAGTTCTAAATGATTCTGACTTGGATGGTGAAGATTTAGATATCATTACAAACCAAGATTTAAATGAAGATAATTTTAGTTCAAATCAAAATAATATGGATGTTTACATAACCTACTTAATAGAACAAATTGATAATTATTGTTCTGTTGAAGGAAACAGAATAAATGCATATCATATACCTGAACTAAAAATAAATCTAATGCGAATAGTTAAAGATTTTCCCATGTGGAGCAATGTGATGAAGAATTATTTTAATTCAAATTTTTTAACAGCTACTAGTGCCCCAGTAGAAGGATATATAGGTAAATCAAAATCAAAATTTTCAAAGCCTTTGACCGCCGATAGATTTATAACGTCGCACTTAAAAACTATTGAAAGTGAGACTAAAATATCAAGAAGTATTCAAATTGAAAATCGAGACCAATATATTACAACAAATAAACGTGAATTATTAAAAACTAACAGTGTGGACGTCAGATTTAAAGAAGCATTGACTGTAAATAACGTATTAAACAATAAGGAAACTGAAGAACAAAATTATTCTAATAATAGAATTCCCAACAATAACGGATATGAAGATATTGATATTGAAGATGACTTTGCTCATTATACTTTTACTAAAGACAACGAAATTGTAAATACAATATGTGATGTTCCTAATGAAGATAATATTTTGCTTGATAACTTCCAATATGAAACTGAAGTAGTATATGGGCACGTATAGGACACTTTTAATATTACAAAAAAAACACCTTAAAAAATCTTTAAAAAATGAATAAAAAACATTAAAAAATGCATAAACACATAAAAAAGCATAAAAAACCACACAAAAAAGCATAAAAAAAATCTAAAATAACATTGAAAAAACATTAAAAAAAAACCGACCTTATATTTTCCTGTTAAAAATTACAAAAAATCTAAACAAATCTGTTAAAATTACAAAAAATTTAAACAAATCTGTTCAAATTCAATATCATTATTTTTTAAAAATTTATGCATTTCATATCTATATTTAACGCGTGTCCAATTCGGACACGCGTCATTACATTTAAATTTTTTAAAAATTCTATAAATTTATGTATTTTTTTTTATATTTAACACGTGCGTTTTTTCCGCACGTGTTATTATTATCACAAAAGCCCATAAATTCCAATAAATTCTCAGTTATAAGTATCAGTAGTAAGCAAGGTACGTTCACCACAATTTATGTGTTTTAGTGGCAACATAATATTATCACAAAATCCCATAACTTCCTTATTATCATTTTTATTTTAACGCTCACCCGAATGGTACGCGCGTTATTAAAATCCAAAAATCTTTGAAAACGATTTTACACTATGATACTATGAGGGGGACTTATAAAGAATTAAAATCAAAAATGTTTAATGTAAAAATGAACATTCTAACATAAATATTAACGGAGTTATACTTAAATGAAAAATATGAAGCGGGGGGTAAACTTTTAATATGTAGTGTAGATAAGCATATAAAACATATCTGTGTTGTTCCGACTTGATAATATCAAATATTAAATGAAATATATATATATATATATATATATGTATGTATACCCGCGCAACTGAAGTTGCGGCTAAAATGTATATATATTCTATATTTAACGCGTCCCCCATTCGGGGACGCGTTATTATTGTCACCAAATCCCATAAATTCCAATAATATATATATGTATGTATACCTAATTGCGGCTAATGTGTGTAATATTATGTGTGTATACCCGCGCAACTATTCTTGCGACTAAAATGTATATGTATATATATATATGTATTATATGTATGTATACCCGCGCAACTGAAGTTGCGGCTAAATTGTATATATATATATATATATATATGTATGTATACCCGCGCAACTGAAGTTGCGGCTAAATTGTATAATTATATATATATATATATGTATGTATACCCGCGCAACTGTCGTTGCGGCTAATGTGTGTAATATTATGTGTGTATACCCGCGCAACTATTCTTGCGGCTAAAATGTATATGTGTATATATATATATATATATATATATTATTTGTATGTATAACCGCGCAACTGAAGTTGCGGCTAAATTGTATATATATATATATATATATTATATGTATGTATAACCGCGCAACTGAAGTTGCGGCTAAATTGTATATATATATATATATATATATATATATATGTATGTATACCCGCGCCACTACACTTGCGGCTAAATTGAAAAAAAATTCTATAAAATGTTTATAATAATTTCTAATTCTAACACGGTCGAATAATTCTAACGTGTCACCAAACCCCATAAATTATGTATGTATACCATAGATAATATAAGAATGGATAGGGCATAAGAGCTTATCACATGAAAATTTAGTGATACTATTTTTAAGGTTATATAAGGCAAATATTGATATGATAATTGATAAATAATAAAAAATAAAATTTATATAATTTCATTTTGTTAAAATATTATTTTCCAATTTCCATTTTCCAGGCACAGGTGGCACAACAATCAAAATACAAACTGACAAATATCTAAATATAACTGACTATCATGTTATTATTATTATTATTTAATAAATAGTTTTGCACATAACCTTAAAAAGCCTCATATAGTCTTTCTCTCTTTACGTTCTCTCTTCCCCAAAAAAGCACACGGCCTCATATGGAACTGGTATAGGCATGTCCTATCCATTCTTATATTATCTATGATGTATACCCGCGCAACTGTAGTTGCGGCTAATGTGTGTATTTGATGATAATAGTAAAAAAGATGCCTTCTAGAATATTCGGTCTTAGTTCAATATCAATTAGCTAGAGTGCGCTATATATTTCATTTTTATAATATATATATATTTGTATATATACCCACGCAACTATTCTTGCGGCTAAAATATATAATTTTTATATAATATTATTATTACATCTAATTTTTTATGCGGTATTATTATTACATCTGTTCAAATTTAATTTCATTATTATTTAAAAATTTTATAAAATTATGCATTTTTTTTCCTATATTTAACGCGTCCGAAATTTACGGACGCGTCACAAAAGCCCATAAATTCTAACGCGGTTGAATAATTCGACCACGTTTTTATTAAAAAATAATGATATTAAATTTGAACAAATTGATTACAAACACGAAAAATGCAATAATTATGAATATATAACATATTATATTAAAATTCCATAAATCTAAAAATATATCATTATTTGTCAAAATCATTTTATTATGCCCGCGCAACTACACTTGCGGCTAAATTGTATATATTAGGTATATATATATATTTATATGTAAGGTGGATCTAACACTCACCCATATGGGGTGAATGTTAAAAATAGACATGAATTACATATATATATATATACCCGTGCAACTGTAGTTGCGGCTAAATTAAAGATATATATTAGAATACACTGTACCTATACAATATTATGTTTTAATAAAACAACTTTTTAAAGAATTACATTTTTTACATTTTGCAGACATTCTTTTCAAATTATTTTTAGTCATAATTATATGTGGATTAATATTATCTGTTTTTTGTTTACATTTAACACAATATATATTTCCCATTTATAAGAAATTAAATTAATATAATGTTTAATTATGCTGTATACTTGTAGCCGTTAAGTTGTGTCTGTTTTAAGTATTTTTCTCTAGGGAAAAAGTTAATAGTTTCTTTAAAATCTGCTTCTTTTAAACATATACCATTCTTGATTATTTTATGAGATTTATACAGCAATATCAATTGATTATAAAATTTATAACAAATTCTGTATTCTATAATTCTTTCATTAAGCTTATAAGATTTTTCAAAAATTTCTATAATTCCGTTTAATAACGAAAACATTGTTAATAAAGGTAATACAAAATAACCAATTGGGCCAATTGTACTTAGAAACAGTTTTAAAGCTAGTAAACAAAAACTGACTTTTGAATAATAATTGTAACTTTTTCTATAAACTAACATTTTTCTCTAAATACGTTTCCATTTAAATATGATTATTTATAATAGCTATAAAACAAAATTTTAGAATTAAAAACATGTCCCTTTTTGGGGGACGTGTTAAATATAGATTTTATACATCTAAATAATATAATAAATATATAATAATAATATCAATATATAAATTTATATTTAAATAATGGGTAAACTTTATAAACAATTGGAATCTTTGGCTAAAAAAGAAAGAATTATTATTAATAATAAAGGTATTGAAAATATTGATAATATAGTTAAGCAAAAGAAAAAAATTCTTAATTTGTTAATTAAAAAATATAAAAATATAATAAATACGCCCAAAAGTACTTATATTTTAATAACTTTATTAAACATGTTAGATAGACCAGATAATTTATTCTGCTATGAGCGTATTGATAATTTAATGGAAAAAGGTATGCCTATTTAAGAACACAATATAATTAAATGACGTGTGCGATATTTACGCACGCGTCAAATATAGAATTTATTTTACAAAGTATCTGACGCTCACCCGTATGGGGTGAACGTTAAAACATTGTGTTATAAAACTATCTAAATCTATGTTTTTAGAATTAAATATGCAACAAAGTCATTACATATTATTTCAATACCATCTTGATCGGTGATAAATAATTTAATATGTTTAAAATCTATTACATTTAGAGGAATATATTTAATGTCATTAGTTATATATTGGCCACCCGTATCACATTTAATAATACATAAAATATCATCGTCTATATGTAAATATTGCTCAGTTTTATGGTTAGAAATGGAATTTTCAATTATATTATAATGTACTTCGATAATTTTATTTTCAAAATAATTACCGAGTATAATATCCGAGCCAATATGTTTATAGTTATATATATTACCTAATCCTAAGCTGGATATTAAATTCTCATCCAATAAATAATAAACATTAGATTTAATTGTAATATAGTTATTTGTTTGTAATATTTTTATATTTGGCGGTAGTAATTTATTTAATTGATCAATAGTGTAATTTCTCTTTTCTATTACAGTTTTGTTATTTTCTGTTTCAATATTGCCTTTTATGTCTTTTAAGAAGCTTTGAGTGTAAAATTTTGGAGTTTTTATTCCTATTACTGTATAAGTAATATCTGGTGATGTATACTCAACACCTAATTCTATTTCTTTCCCTTTAGCCCATGTTTTATTAATAGGGATCATATGTTTTATAAAATTAAAACCTAAACAATTTGATAAATATTCATCAAAGCACAGACCAATTGAAGCAGTTATTTTTAATAAATTTGTATTTATTTCAAGATTTATTTTAGGAAAATTATCCACAAATTTAGCTCCAAATGAATTAAATAAATTTTCAATTTCGCCTATTGAATAAATACCTATGAATATTGTACCTAGTGGGATTTGGCCATTTCGACCTAATCTAAATTCACATTCTTTTTCAATATTTATGTAATATTCATCACTAGTGGGACAATAAATTATTCTTTTGGTACTTGTTATTGCAAATTCTATATCCTTAAAACCTAAATATTTTTTTAAATTTTCATCCAAACTATAGTAACATGGAGATTCTATTTTAATTTTTTTTTCAATCAAAGAGATAATTAATGGATTTATTAATTTATTTAGTTTTTCAATAGTATAAATACCACTTTTGATATCAATTACGTTAGTGTTAATTATTATTTGACAGTCGTTTTCTATTTTAATTAAATCCCCAGGCTTGGTAAAAGACAAAGCATATAACCCAAT